GACCAAATTCATTCATGGATCCAATGGTCGAATTCTAGCACACATCTCATGCAATTTAGTATTTGAATATGATAGATATACTGGCACTAGGATTTCGAAAGAGTTCTGCTGTATTTTTTCAAGTATAACAGATATATAATAAGAATTAACATTCAATTTTTTAGGGTATCAGCTCATTCATACTGTTATTCGTAAAAATACAAGTGAAGACTTGATCACATCCAAAATGTCCCATTAGGTCAACTTACCGATTATAGTAGAAATTTTCATCTCATTTTTCCATCTACGCGCTCATCTAGTTATTTTTAGATTTCGACATTGGGGCTCGATCAGATCCTAATACAAAAGATCAGAATGCAATTCCATCATTCGGTTTCTGACAATATTTCTGCAAGATTCTATCGTATTTTGCAGGATTCTGATAAGATTCGATCTGTCTTTAGAGAATTCTATTGTTGCATTGGTTCTCTTGAGAAAGTAAAATATTTTTCTCAAATTCTTCAGGAGCGGCGCGTACTGATCAACGAAGGATGGGAGTACTTTCGAAAATAGCACTTTCCACATCAAAGTCTCGCTGTCGTATCCTAAAAATTCCGATAGGATTGTCTTGGAAATTATCGGCATCTGGTACCAGGGATTTCGACAAATTGAGACAAAATCCGCCGGTTTTACGATAGGATCCAAAAGCTGAATATATCATCCTGGTGTGGTTCAAAATGAAAACGCCACGTAACAATCGAGAGCACATCGATCTCATTTAAATTTTTCCTTTAACAAGAAACATGCAACAATATTGGATCAAAATTTTACACATATTCAGATATTTATATATTACAAATAAGTTGAAGTGCAATACAATGTTTACTTTGTGGACATTGAAATGGTTGTGATGGATCAAAGCAACCCAAAAAATAAAGAAAAAAAAAATAATAATTCACGTTTTAGATCAAAGTAATATCCATTTAAATGAATGGTGCACTCAGTTGTAACTTGAATAACTTCGGTTAGAAAGCTACTAGAGACCTGCAGTTTTCAGTTTTGGACAGACTAGTATCAACTTCACATGAAAATATAAAAAGCGACATCACACCGAGTCTCAGGATCGCCTACATGTGATTTTCAAAATAAATTCGATTTGTGTGACCTCTCTGTGAAAAGCCATTATTTCTTGAAAGTTCAATATCTCAAAACAGAAACATTCGTTTTGGCTGAAACTTTCAGGCAATTCTAATGACTAGTAGACCTATCTATGGGCAAAGTTTCAGATCGAAATTTTTGAATTTAATTTTTTCGAACATTCCTTGCCACAGACCCAAAGTTCAGTAACACGGTCATAACTCCCTAACAATAAAAGGTAGAAATCTGGAGTTGATGACAAATAGTAGACAATCGTCTGTCTTACTAAACTTATGTCAAAAAGAATTCAATACCAAACGGATTTTCATTGCTTAGGTGAATTGCTAAAATTTCACAGGTAAGCGACCCCGAGACACGGTGTGATGTCGCTTTTTTCATATTTTCATATAAAGTGCATGTCGCTTTTTCCAAAACTGAAAACCGCAGGTCTCTAGCTGCTTCCTATCCGGAGTTATTTAACTTACAACGGAGTGCATTGTTCATTGAAATGTATACGTATATTTAGAATGAATTTTATCCTAAAAGGCTAGACTCAAGAATTTTCTAGATTTTCTTTTTATAGAAAAATTCAATCTTATCTCAAGAGATAAGAATAATAATAATATCAATAGCAGACACCTTTCAACTGATGAACAGGATGTAAAATATTAAATAGTGTAGATTAAGAATTTAATTTAGATGAATCAACAACTGGCCTATTTTGAAGTCATGGTTTTAATATTAATTTTGATTATTTTGAGTACCAGGAAGCCAATAAGATTTAGGATTGTTACCAGATAGTGAGGCTAATACAGCCTTTGGAATTACTTGAATAATAATTACTAAAGAGAAAATCAGAATAACAAACAAAGATGGTATAAATTTCATCGTTGTTCTTTGTATTGATTGTTGACATTGTTAATTCTATTGCATTGAACGCAGGGCTGGGCGAGTCCGAGTCATGACTCGATTGTGTAACTAGAGTCATTCGTTCACAAAAGAAATTAATTTGCTTATGTAAAAAAATCACAATTTATAAAATTAAATTTTCTCTGATTCATAACTTTCATCCTAATTGAATATAATTACTACATCAGAAAGTTTTTTTTCTCAAGAATTTTTTTTACTTATGTTTTTACATGGTTGTAAATCTTATTCTATGCATATTATTGGATATGTATATTTTGTCTCATTTTGTTTTGTTTTGAATCATCTGTGAAATGCGATAAGACATTAATTTACGGATAAAGATTTTTTAATCACCAAAAGTTTGAGTATTGATCACCAAAAATTAATGCTTGAATCATCGACTTTATCATAAATGAAAACAAGAATAACAAATACAAAAAGTATTTACAACGGCTTACACAATTTATTTTCCGTGAATTTGCCTTTCGTCGATTGTTTTCGATATGAATTTGTTACTTTTACAAAAAGAAATAAAATAAAATTTCGGCTCTTTAAGATATACTTGTCATTGATTACATAAAAATATATTTCAATATCCATTTTCTGATAACGATATTTACCTTTCCTTGATTAGTTGAATGAAGAGATATAAGTATCTGAAGAAGAATAGCTACCATATCTTTGTTAGAAAATGATCCAGTCTCTGATTTAATATAATCTTGAGATGAATAAGTTCAAACAAAAATTTCTTTGTTTGTTTTGTGTTGTACATACATGGAAAAATTAATTTCTGTTGTAGTTATAATTCCGACTCGTCAGAATTTTCTGGTATAGGAAGCTCTTATAAGTCGCCCTCATCCTCTGCTACCCTCAATTGTAATATGAAATAAAATTAAAAAAAGTTGAGTTTCATTTATTGGAGCATCTGGTTCCATTTTAATTAGCTTACATCTTGTTGAACTTGACGATCAAAATACGAATTTTTTTTGTTGAGTATTTCTCAGCTAGACAATTTCGATAATCAAAACAATATTTTTCCTTCATTTAAATATAAATAGATGATTTTCTGCTTGTAAACAAATTCAATTTTAGGTCTTTCCTCATAAAAATGGTTTTTTGTTATTTTGGCATGGAACTTCATTAAAAAGAAGAGTTCATTTTGGTGTTCTTGTTTTGTTGATAAACCTATAGAAGTTATGCTGTTTTATTTTGTGTATGACTATTCTATTTCTTTTGTGCATAAAAACTAGGAACTAGGTAGATATCGTGCCATGAAAAACTAATTGTCAACTTCTTTTTTATCGTAACAACAGACAACGAAAAAAAATGGCAAAAATAACTTGACTCAATTCGACCCAAAACCATTTCGAAATTACTCGGATTCGGCTCGACTCGACTCAAACATGGCTTAATTTACCTAGTCCTGCTTAAGATTATACTTTCTTAAAAAACTAAAAGATTTTCTTTTTCTCTATCATGAGTTAAGAAACATAAGATTTAGATTTAGTTAGATCGTCGGTTACTATTTTTGCTAATCTCAAAATGACTCAATCACAAATAAATATGCTTATTTTATGTAAAAAATGGTCATGTTTTTTCATGCTAAGTTTATTGTTATTGATTTTATATTGTTTAGAATTAGAATGACTTTTGTTATGATTGTATGAAAATTCTTTTAAATTTTCTAAAAACGATTTGGATCTTTTTTCCATGGTCACTAATTTCAAAAAAAACATAAGACATCGTTATAGTAGATTATGATTCTTTTTCAAAACACTTTTTTTTAATCAAGTTGTTTCAATAGTATTTTAACATATTTCTATGAGTATGCCTAAAAATATTAAAAGGATTAGACTTTTTTTCGTTTATATACAATAGAAATATTGAACTTAAAAGAATCACTTAAATATTGATTATTTGAATTCTTCTGTTTAACGATAATTAGTCTATATTCTTGGTTTTATGAAATAGTTATATTGTTAGTCAACTATTAACATAAGAAGCGAACGAGATGAAAAAGAGCGAAAGAAAAAAAAATCTATTTATTTCTTTATATAAAATAGTTAGATTATACGTGGCACATGAAATAGATATATATTAGTCGAGGGTATTTAAGTAGAAAAAAAGAGAGAAGAATATACATATATAAATATAGTGCATTCAACTGTTATTCGCACGAAAAGAAAATTTCATCGATTTCTTTTCCGTCTAACGTTTATTTATTGTTCATGTAGTTATGTGGTATAATCGTTGAAAAAGCAATATGAAATTTTTAAAAATAAAACGAGAAAAACATTAAGATATAGATGATGAACAGGAAGAACATCAATTGGTAATCTTGATACATCTATGTATGGATAGATATCTTCAACAACATGAACTTTGAAGAAAATGTATCCCACAAGGTTTAAATAAAACATAGAAAAACAAAGAATATATTTCTTTTTATAATATTTTATTTATTTAGATGGATCCAGTTTGTTTCGTGTTGTATTAGAAGATATAAATGAATAGTTAATAAAAGATAATTTTTTTTTTGTTTTTTTAGTTATTTTCTATTCAAGTTTATCATTATGATGTTCAACTAAAATATATTGAACATATGAATTGCATACAAATGAATATAGACCAGTAAAATATTTTCGTTTTATTTAATTTTTTTTTAATATAATTTCTTTTTTTGTTTTTGAAAGTTAATTACAATGTTCTTATCAAAGTATTTAACTCATTTAAAAAATCCAACTGTAAATTGATTGAATTATGTAATTTTTATTTAAAAAAATTGATTGTAATAGACAACAGATAGAATGTTTCAAGTCGGAGTACTTGTACGATGTTAAGGTATTATAAAAAAGAAAATATTTATTAAAAAAATCAAATTTATATTTTATTGATTTAATGTTCGGATTGTTGTTTATTTTGATAAAGATCATGATCCTATTGAATATCAGTATGGTTCAAAAAAATTTTTATTTTTATTAATTGGTTATCAATTTGATCGTGTTATTACAAAAAAGAACGTTATCGACTTTTACGCATTGTACAAGGTAAAATTATTTTAAAATATATTCATTTTCTATCTAAACAATTAGCAATTTCATAATACTTGTATTTTTTTCTTAGGTTATATTTACAAATTTTTCTTTAGTGAAGTATTTAATCAACCAAAAGTAGTTGAACCAGCAAAAATATTGTTAAGAAGATTAGATACGCTTTATTATGAAGTTAAAGGAATTAGCATGTAAAAGTAAAAAAAAAAATTTTGTTTTTTTTATTTAAAATAAATTAAATTTATTATTTTTTAAATTCAGAACCAACAGAAGAAAAAAGTAGTGGTAAATTAATACCTGTATCATATCGTACAATTAAAGCATTTGAACCAGCTACTCATCGATATATTACTTATGATATTTATATGAATGATCATTTAAAAAATATTTTGATAGGAATATTAGTAAACAATATCAACATATACCATATATCACACGTAATAATAAATTGAACGATTAGGTAGATGAAAACAAAAACAAATTAAAATGTTTTATCTTTTTTCTTACTTTTTATTTTAGATGTTAAAATATATTTGCCTGTTTCTGACATATATTCACCAGATTGTCGACCAGTTATTGTTACATTATCAAATTCTGATGAATTGCTTGTTTATTACTTTGAAAAAGATTCTGATATAAATATGCATAATGTTTATTTTATTAAATTTTGTTCAATGTAATATTAGTTCTTTTTTTTTTGTTCATTCATAGAATTTTTTTCAATTTTTTATAGAACAAAAACAGCTGGTGAAAAAAAAATGTCACATTTTTGCAGTATTACTTGATCGTCGTTCACTAACATTTGTACAATTAAAAAGTCATAAAAAAATGTATAGAAAATAAAAGCATTGTTGTAAGTTATTTATTCAAGTTCTTTTTTAACCCTTTGAGGGCGGTGGTATTACGTATGTATCACTATTTTTCCAGTAGAGAAAAAAATGTGTTATTTACACTATTCTATTAGACCTATCTTGAGGATGAGGGTGACGATGAGAAGGAGAGAGACTAGACGGAGGGCACATATGAGAGAGGAGAGTGGAGTTATCTAATGATGCAATAGTTGAAAAGTTGAATAGTTGAAGAAAACTGTTCCTGTCGAACCGAGTTTTCGATTTTTACACTATTGTATTTTTCTAGGTTATTTTGTTTTAGATTTTTTTTCTAGATTTTTCTCTTGCTAGATTTTTTTTAAGATTTTTTTCTAAATATTTTTTTTTTGAATTTTTCTTCTAGATTTTTCGACATATTAGTTCTTCATTAAACTAAAATAGAACATGAGTAAGGAAAAAGAAAAAACACAAGAAAAAGAAGGAGAACAAGCAGTAGTAAAAACTCATTCACCCTTATTGGTTTTTTGTCAAAAATTACACCAAGCAAGAAAAGATGTAAGATAAATATATGCAAAAATTTCTTTATAGATAAACATATTATTTAGAATCAAAAACTGAAGGCACTACTTGCTGATACATATTCAGAATTAGATAAAGCTGCAGTAGCTTTTGACGCAAACACATCTAAAAAATCAGATAAAGAACTCGAAGATGACGAACATAATATAAAAAGACTTGAATATTTTATACATATGATAACCTATTATATGGATAAAAATATACAAAACCAACAAGAAACATCAAATAATGGTATTAAAGATCCTGGAGATTGTTATGTAGGAGACGACGAAGAATGTTATGAAGAAAATCTTCAGGTAAATAAAAATCTAAAAAAAATTATAAAAACATTCGAAATTTTATTTGAAAAAGTTATATTAATTTTTTAGGCTTCTTCTCATCCAAATCCAACAACCTTTACATTTAGTCATAATGATATTTCTGATATGCAAAAGCAACTTGCACAAGTAATTAAATAAAAAACAAAAAAAACAATGAAATTTTTCTTTTATATTTATTAGATAATGTATAATCCCGTTAAACTTCGTGAAGTAACGGATAGTTTTGTTGTACAAAGCATAATAACAAATCCTGATTTATTATGTTCGATATTACTTCGTAATCCTTATTTATTACGTTCATTGTTGCTTAGTAAACCAACAGCATTACAAGCATTTATGCGTAATCATGGTTGTGTTTTAAGTAATCATGAAGTAAGTTTTACTAATTTATTATTAACTTACTATTTTTTCAATAGGGCATGCCATGTGCTTTCAATGCTTTACAATGTACTTATCATAATGTACAAGAATCAATTTATTCAGCAGCAGGAGCACAATTTGGTAATAATTCATTTGCACAATTATTTAATGGTAATGGGAGTATTGGAAAAACTTTTTTTTTAATTCTCTACTTTTTTCATGTATATAGAAAATACAACAATACCACTTACGGAAAATACTGATCCATTACCAAATCCTTGGGTACGTCGTGGTACTTGTACATCAGCTGCACGTCCTCATCAAACAGAACAACAACCTATTGGGTCAACAAATACTCAACCACAACAACAACAACAAGCAGTTGCAACAACTCTAACTGATATTGCTAGTAGTTCAGTTGGTTTAATATCTGCAATGATGCAAAATAATATGTCACAATTAGTTCAAAATCATTATTTAATTGAAAACGTTTTTAATGCACCATATATGCAACCATTAATGGTTTTACTTGCAGTTAATTCTGATACATCAAGACAAATGGTTGCTAATAATTATGAATTACGTGAACAAATGTTTAATGCTTTAACAGCTATGATGGAACAAATGAGAAATCCTGAAATACAAGCATTAATGCAAAATCGAGAAGCACTTGAAGCTATTAAACAAGTACAAGAAGGTCAGAAAATTAGGTTTATTTAAAAATAATTTATAGTCTTATATATAGGACTTCAACGATTACATGCAGCAGCATCGAATCTATTTCCAGCGTTAGTTTATTAATAAAAAAAAGTAATAATAATGTTTTTACTTATTTTAGTGGTAGTCTATTAGTTAATCTTCATATTGGTCCAACTAGTTTATCTTCACTAGTTAATACTGAACCCTACTCATCATCAATTTCTCAATCTACTGCATCTGATTCAATAGCTGCTGGTAATACATCATCATTAAATGATCCAAATAATTATACAGGTGTATTTGCCCAAATGTTGAACACGATGTCAAATCAAAATATTGTATATTTATTTAAATTTGTTTTTTGTTTTTCTCTGATTTTTATGGTATAGGATGAACCACCAGATCAACGTTATGCTGTCCAATTAGGACAACTTATTCCAATGGGTTTTACTAATCGTGAAGCGAATTTACAAGGTAATCGATTATATTTTTTCTTAACTAATCTTTTTTTTCTTTTTAGCTCTAACAGCAACAATGGGAGATGTAAATGCAGCTATTGAATGGCTTTTATCTCAAATATAAGTTTTTCTTTTCGATATATTGATTCTTGTGTTAATTTGTACAATATTTTCTTTTCGATATATCGATTCTCATGTTCCTGTTAATTACAACATTTTCTTTTCGATATATTGATTCTTATGTTCATCTTAATAAAATTTCTTTTTCGTTCATCTTAATTCGATTTATTGAATTTTCATCAATTGACAACAACATTAATCTCATTTCTTTTTCTTCTATTCAACTATTTTGTCTATATAAATATGTGTTCGAGAGAAAAAAAAGACTCGCATAAAAAAGTGATGGATAAGATTCCGGTATGTATCTATGCATATTTTACAAGAAAAAGACAAGTCCTTTTGTTGTTGCCTTCGTCTATGTATATGTAATCATCATATTTATATAAACAAAAAGAAAGAACATTTTCAATTTGAAATTATGATTAATAATCAATGGTATCAAGCTTTTGTTTTTATAAAAGAAAATTCTTTTAGCATGTCAACTGTACTGAGAGATTTGGTCAGTTCTTAAAATAATTTTAAATGGTTGAAACTTCAGATATACTTAGAGTTGTAGAGTTATCCACGGGCTCTCTGAATATATAATTACTTTTCTCAAAATATTGATCTATATCGCTAATATGTTGAAAATACTGAGAAATACTATTGTTTTCCAGGTGACATAAGATTGATTAGTAACAGCATCACTTATATATATCAAAAAAATAATGATTTTTGTTTTGTCGCTGAACTGTTTTAAAGGACATTTTACTAGTGACATATATAGCTCCGGATATACATCATGCCGGGGTAGTAAGGACAGTTCGATTCATTGAGATACAAGTATTTGGCAGAGAGCGAGGTGACAAGACCATTATATGGCTGTGTTACCAGTTTAGTGCAGGTTATAATTATGAAACTTTCAGAAAATACTTGTGGATCTAGGAGTATGCTGAGAAAAAATTGTGAAGGAAATCGATCAATCTAAAGATGATTTACATAATGACACATTGAAAATCATCATAGCTGAGATTCTGTAAGCAAACATTGATTGAGTGATATTTCGGTAACCCGGAAGGCGATTTTAGTGAAAATCTTATTGGATAAAGCTGAGAAGTCAGGCTTTCAAATAGTGGGTTTCACGGTCTCCTAAGTGCTTGTATAGCTGAGATATAAGCAATCCAAGGTAACGATAGTGTTCGATGTATAACTCTGTTCTATTAAATTGGATCGATGCCGGATCGGTGTCGCCGATCAGCGTTTTTTATTACACACATGCCGTCAAAATTTCAAGCCAATAGCTGGAAATATAGAAGTACTTCAGGGGAGGGTGGTCGAGACTTATGACCAGTAGTGTAATATGATAACTATAGCCATAACTTCTATTCCAACATTGGAAGTTGAATCTCACAAACGATTCTACAAACAAGCAAATGAACATCTGCAATCTTTAAATAGCAGATTTCGAGAAAAGACAATGATCAACGAAGTTATGAGAGAAAAAATTCTTCGTTATCTTACAAACAAGAATTCATCAGGTTAAAATTCTTGTTTTAAGTCTTGCTGTAGAAGGTTATTCATTACACAAAACGTTTCATCAAAACTTATTGTGTAACGCAAAAACAAATAAACTAGTGCTAGTCAATGAATCAGTGTACGACATTTATAAAAAAAATACTCATTAAAATAACTCGTGGAGAATATGACAAATGTCTAGGAGTCATTGCACGATAGAGATGAGCAATCATGCTTAATCAACATCACCGATTTCTTTCGTCATTTTTCAACGATTAATATGTTCATTATTCATTCTTGGGTACAATAGTTGAAATAAAGAAAAAGAATAGTGAAATTTCTAAAGCGAAAAAAGTATTACCTATTGTAAATTTAATTACAAGAAGTTTGAAACGTTTGCATCTATTCGTCTCAAGGCTGCCACCTGATAAAGAAATTTTTCAGTAGTGTTGTTAAACACTACATTTCAAAAAGGTAGTGATAAATAAACAAACATATGAGATAAGCGAAACAGAATGATGAACATAATAGCAGACCTCACGCGAAGGTCTTAAGATTGAGAAAGGAAGTGTAAAGAGATATATAAGGAAATGTCTCACATAACTATATAGTAAAAAATTTCAAGAATATTATTTGTCTTGCTGACTGAAAAATGAAATATTTTTAATTAAATTTATGCTTTGTTTATTTATGTTACACTCTGGAGTGCTTACATAGGAAGGGAAAAAGGAACAAGTGTAAGTGATTCTAATTGCCATAGTTGGGCCAATCCGTAGGATTTCATTTTCCGTGTTCCATATCGCTGAAATCTATATGGTGCCGCGTAGGGTGTGATAAATCATTTATTCTTATATAAAGCTCAACCATTTAATCAGTAACGTCTCATGTCTCTTAATTAAGTTTTTCACTCTTTTTTGTCTGAAGAAATGTCCTAACGAGTCTTTTTCACTCTTTTAAAATCCATCCCAATAAAATATATCCTCTAGAAAGCTTGAGCGTCCTAGGTCTGTCTTGAAGATTTTTTTCAATCTTTTGTTTATATACCTTCTAACGTACACTTCCATGTGATTTTCATTCGTTAGTGTGAATAAGTCTTCTGCAGAAATAAAAGGGCGTCTATGTAATATTCTAATAGCAACTCTACATTTCCTATTGAGTGATTTTTTATGTGTTTTCGGGAGAAATGGATAGAAGGGGAAAATCCACGCAAAGTGTGGAAAGACATAAGCACAAAAACATTTTCTTAAAACGTGAACCGAAATTTTTCTACTTTTATTCAACCACTTCAATTTGACTAAGGCCTTCTCCACTTTTTCTAGACAAAAGTCGAGTGTAGATTTCAATGTCATTTTGCTCATCCATGTAAATCCTAAATATTTGAATGTGTTAACTATTTCTAGTTGATGTCCCTACATATGTATCTTTATTTCGGGTCGTTTGATCTGTTTGTAGAAAAG